ATATATATATATATATATATACACACACACACATACACATACACATATATATATGCATACATATATATGCACAAGCAGACCACCAGGAACACTCTAAATATTGTCGTACCCGTATCTGCATTCAGATTCATTACTCTTGCTATCGTCGCGGTACTGTAGCAGGGTTAGTCTTTGTGTCGTCATTTCCGGTAATGTGGATGTAGCTTATCCAAGGGAAAGGAATTAGTCAGCCATTGTGCTTTCGTTTAATTAAATAAATCCCAATAAAGAAGACATGAGCGACGCTGAGAAGGATTTTGTCGAACGAGTGCGTAAGATGGAAGCTTTTGGAAGCGATTTCATGAAGCACTTTGTGTTTATATTATGTTTTTGTCAGAGACACTGTGAGATACGTCCCTCGCTTTCATAGGCCAGATATCCGTCGCCTAGACGCGGTATTCTTGTTCTATGCTTTGATAGATTGCCGTATTTGGTTATTTTCCTTTTAATCAAAAATGTTTTAAAATTCTTACTTGTATGCAGTGGGAATTAGCCTTCCTTTATGTCTGACGAAAACTCTTTAAATATTATGAGACGGGATTCATGGCATTATATGAAACACATTTTAATAAGCATTTGTACTGCGCCTGGAGCAGCCGCCACATCTTAGTATTAGCACAGAACGGTAGGCGAGCGGATATGCAGTGGCTCCAGCTCGCGTTTTGATATGCTGTGCTCGCTGTTTCCCGTGTTGGTGTCATGCGAGCGTTTTTGTAAAATGTGCTGTGGCCTGTTGTGAGCATGTGCCGCGGCATCGATGACGTAAACATTAGTAAACATTTAGACCACGTGACAAGCGTGGATTCCATCCAGACGTTTAATCTGGATCAGATTTATTCTGAAATTCTCTCACACGGGGAATTTATCTCCGATTGTCAATGACCTTTATACATACAGTAGAATATTTATACAGGTCAGAGTTCTCATGCAGTATGGTTTTTCAGGTTTTTGTCAAGTGTTTCTTATGGATCAAGAGGTTAGGTGTGGGGGCAGTATGATGAGGGATGTGTATTGTTTAGTGATGGCATGTTTCATCTGTCTATGGAGCTAAACAAACACTTAATATCATAACTGTGAATTAATATAGGCTAGTTATTTTTTCGTGACAGTTATAACTGCTTGTAACTATGGATGCACCGATTGCAATTTTCTTGGCCCGATTACCGATTTTTTGGTATGTGCGATCAGCCGATACCGATTTTTCTGATACCGATTTTTGCCCTGAGAACAGAAAATATATACGCAAAACATTTTCTTTACCTTTATTTTCATCATAAACTCTTATTAAACTTTACAAATTCAAATAAATAAAACCCCAACTACAACTAAACATTAATATATTCTTTTAAAATTATAATAGGTGCAGCAAGTAAAAGAAAAATATGTAACAAGACACCTCATCCAGTGCCATGAATTCTGTAATTTTCCTTATAATTTCTTTGATCTTTTTACTGCTTATACCAACGAAAGATAGTCAAGTCAAGTCAAGTGTATTTAAATTTGTTGTATTAAATGTCTTTGTACTGGTTCCCCCACGGTGTACCTGGTCCTTACATTTTCTGCAGATAGCGAATTTTGGATCTGCTCACACTGAAGAATTTCCAAATTACGGACATTTTTGCGTGTCTGAAAGTGCGCGTGACTGCACATATGATTTAATGCGTATGCGCATGATCGGTTCGTAATTAGAAATACGTGAGACTGATCAGCCGATCACCGATCAGGCTGAAAATCAGCCCATTCCAATTGCTGGCCGATCGATTGGTGCATCGGTGCCTGTAACGCTTGCCAAATTAAGTGCTCAACAATTTTTCCATCGCCAGAGGATAGAATAATGTGTAGGCTTTACCATTCTGCTCCCATTCCCACAGAACCTCTCCGTGAAATAGCGATATTTAAGCAGGCCATATTGTGTGTGTGTGTGTGTATGGGGTATAAGAAGGTGATGAGAGAGATGCGTCGTCACCCCCACCTAACCAAATGGCAGAACTGTTTAATCGATACTTTACCTACCTTGCCTTGTTTTTTTCCCTGGAAAATATCTAAACAAGCACATTTTATTAGAGTTTTATAAGACCATCTGCTAAATGACAACGTAATATAGTCTATTAGTGCCGTTAACCTACTGAATTCCATGATGCATGCACTGGGGCAGGGGTAGGAATCAGACTTCCCAAGAGTGTCAATAAGGCCTTGCCGTAGATGATTGATTGGTTGGATAGATTTTTTTTTTTTTTTGGTGTGGCAGCCCGCCACAGAGAAATGTTACCAATGGAAACACTGAAATATATTTACTTGTATGTGTGGGTATGTGTACAAAAAGTGCAAAAGTGTATAAGAGCTGGTGGTTGCACTCAAAAGTACCATAAGGTGGCTTGCTGAGCTCAAGTTCCTGTTCTAAAAAATCAGCATGTGCAGCACCACTCTTCATAGTTTTACTTTGCTGCTGCCACAATTGATTTAGATTTTAGGGTCATACTGGTTGTTATTTCTATCATCATGCTTGAATGAATCAGCTTAGCATTTATACAAGCTTGTCTTGCTGGAGTGTTGGTGACTCAGGCTGTTTTGTTGATTTAGGAGTCCCACTCGCCCTCAAGGAGTGTCAGCCCTCAGGGTTCTGTCCATTCTGCTCATTCTGCTCAGTCTGCCAGTAACTCCCCAGCCCAGTCTCCTGTCCATTCTAAGGAGGGCTCGCAACAGTCCAGATCCAAGTCTCAGTCTCGCTCTCGCTCAAGATCAAAATCTCGGTGAGTGTGTGTGTGTGGATGATTGAATGCCTTCTGGAGGTGATGTTTAGTTGATGCTTTAAGTTGGTGTTTTCCAAATCAGTCCTTGAGAATGCCCAGGCAATCCACAGTTTTGCTCCCTCTCAGCTCCCAATGCACCTGTACCAGGTATTCGGTGTTCTTGATTGGCTGAGAGCTGGAAGGGAGCAAAAATGTGGATTGACTCGGTTGGGAAATAATACTACTTTAAGTTATGGGTGGGTTTGTTTGTGGATGTGTCCTGCAGGTCAAGGTCACACAGAGGTTCCCGCCGTCGTTATTCACGGTCACGGTCCCACCACCGGCGGTCGCGGAGCCGCTCCTACAGCGCTGAGTACCGCCGGGAGAGGAGCCACAGCCGCTCACCCATGTCAAACCGGCGGCGCCACATTGGCAGCAGGGTACAACCTTCTCCAACCCAACCACCCACCCACCCACCTGCCTGCCCGCCCGCCTGCCCGCCCACAGGGCTTCATGGTTAAAACCATAAAGAAGTTGTGTAACTCCTGCTCCAGTACTGCTTACACTTTTACCTGGGCATTCCTTGGAAGCTCAGCCTATCCACACTTATACCTAGTCGACTCTTCAAGAACCCGTATGTTCATATTGAAGCTTATAGTGTTGATCACATTATGAAAGATAGCCCCACCCCCCCACAGGCAAACCCGGACCCTAACTGCTGCCTTGGGGTGTTTGGTCTCAGCCTTTACACCACGGAGCGGGACCTGAGGGAGGTCTTCTCCAAATATGGCCCCCTAACGGATGTCACCATTGTGTACGATCAGCAGTCCCGGAGGTCGCGCGGCTTTGCTTTTGTCTACTTTGAGAACAGAGAGGATTCCAAAGAGGTTGGTGTGCCTGGGGAGCAGCACTGAAGCATGGCCCCTGTAGGTTTGGATGCACTAAGCTGTGCCTCTGCTCTCAGGCAAAGGAGCAAGCCAATGGCATGGAGCTTGACGGCCGCCGCATACGAGTGGATTTTTCAATCACAAAACGGCCGCACACCCCCACACCAGGGATTTACATGGGCCGGCCCACATAGTGAGTATATCTGTCTGGAGCAGGTCACTTTCTGAGGGTGGGGGCCACCAGCTGCAGCATCACCTTCTGTGTGCTCTGTGCAGTGGAGGTCCCAGCTTTGCCCGGCGCTCCAGAGATTACTACGACCGTGGCTATGAAAGAGGCTATGAACGTGGCTATGACCGTTATGATGACCGCGAGTACTACCGGTCCTACAGGTGGGTAGAAAGTGCCATAGTGAATGTCGGTGGCACAGTGGCTGACACACAGTTGAATGGGGTCTTTGTTTTCAGACGCAGGTCCCCGTCGCCATACTACAGAGGGGCATACAGGTCCCGCTCCCGGTCACGCTCCTACTCGCCTCGTGAGTACAGCAGAGCCACGTCCCACCCTAAATGTTTATGTGCTCCATTGTTGCTCTCCTGATGCCTCACTTTCCTCTCTAGGTCATTACTGAGAGTGCCGTTTCCATTCCAACCTGGACATACAAGGGGGACCAGGATAGGGTGGGAGGGGGTGAAAGTGCGGGTGTTCAGAGCAGTTTCGTGATATTTTTACTGTTAATTTGATGCATTTGTAATGTCTTCCAATTTTTAATTGTATTCAAGTTGGTGTACAATGCTTGGTCAAGCATCATCCGTGTCATTTTTAGTTATGCAGTATTCATGTAATAAACGGCACCCACACACAGGCCTGTATGTCTTCTCAGAGCAGGATCAGCTTATCCTTTTTTTCTGCTTATGGCCCACACTTCCAAGAGTGGACATGTGCCTTTTAACAGACGTTGTAGTTCTCATCAGGAGCCTTGCTTGGATATTAAGACACCTGGGACTTAGTCTCAGCCCTCAAACTGACAGCAGGGTGGTTTAAACATCCAAGCTAAACAAATCACTGGGGATTCCTGTCCCCCATGCCCCAGTCTAGAGACTGGGGCATGGGGGACATGCTGAGGTCTGTGATCCAGTTCTAGGGTTAAGAATTTTATTTGTCTCTCAAATTATGATCCCTGTCCAGACAAAAGTCATGCATCATTCTCAGTGCAGCTGATATCAGACACTCTAAGAATGGACTGAATTGAGTGTGGTACAACAGTCTTCCCATAAATACTTGATCCCCCCCCCCCCTTACAGTTTAGCAAATCTAGACATTTCCTTATTTTTTCCCTTTCTAGAAAACCTGTAAGGTCAAAGTTTCACTGCCAGGAAGGAAGAAACTGCAAGCTTTGCATAGGCTAATGCAAGCTGGACAGCTTTCAGGTGCCATGTGTTTTATGGCATCACCTTGAGGAGAACACTTCGATTTGTGATGGTCCAGCAGAGCAGCTCCTCCTCCAGTGATGCCTGGGAGCTTCTCACACAGATGCCTGCTTCAGTGATTCCATAGCTGTGTTTGTAATTGCTCTCCTGCACAACCAGCAGGATAAGATTTTCAGGGCCCAACCACATTTGAGCTCATACATTAACTTTATAACCTAATGGCTTTTAACATGTTTCTTTAATAAAAATTAAGCTCAAAAACATGAAGGGTTAACTGGAGACCTAGACAGAGCATGCGATCATGCCCCATACCATGCGCAGCTTTTACTGCAGAAAGCTAAAAGTACGTTTATTAGACAGGCAGATGCTCATTCTCCAGAGTACAGGCCTAGGTTGAGTCAAACCTGGGCTCCCATGATGTCCCAGTGTTTGAGATAAATAATAACCCAGATTAACCCTATTTCAAATCACACAAATACCTTAAAAACAATTTAAAAAATCAAAAATATTTAAAAAACTAGTCTCTACTCAAGCTGCAAATTCCAATAATATCTGCCATCCAATGTTTATTCTACATAGGCTTCACGAATTTAAGACTTATTTGGTTGAGTTTTTTTTCTACTGCCCACAAGGAGGCAGCAGTGCTTTAGGAATAGGCAGGACCAGCTATCTGGCCTTCTTGTCAGGAGGGTGTCCGTTCAGCTCCAGTGTATCCAGCTTAAGGTGGGCATGGCGGCTATAGTGGCGAAGCAGTGCTCCTGGGAGCAGCGCTGCACAGGCGATGGCCAGCAGCTGCAGTAGTGTCTCCCAGGAGAAAATGTCATTCAGTGAGGAGATCTCAGACAGCATGGCCCCCGTGCGCACACAGATGAAGTTGTAGGGGATAAGACCTGGGGTAAGAACATAAAGTTGACACATTTAACAGATGACAGAGGCTTCAGTGCAGCTAGCAGAACGTATGCAGGTGTCTGGAGGCGCTGACCGATGAGAACGGAGAAGAAGAAGAGAGGCACAGGCACACTGAGGATGGGGGATGTAACATTCAGGAACCAATTAGGTGTCATGGGGAAGAAGCGCAGGAAGAGCAGGAAGAAGAAGAGACTGCTCCTGTTCTCCTCAACCTGAGGGAGGATGGGTGAGAGAGGAAGGAGAGACAAAGACGTATGGAGAATGAGAGAGAGGGGAATGGAATAACGGAGTGAGGGTAGTACAGAGAAGGAAAATGACAGTTTAGAAAGTCAATGACACATACTCAAGTTGGAGGTCGGCATCCCAAAACGATACAGTAGAAGAAGGTCCCTGTACCTTACATACACCTGAATCTGAGCAAAGCAAATATGACCATCACAAATACCAGCTATCGAGAGTAAGGCTATCTCACACGAACAACCAGAGCCACAAAGAGTGTGGCTCTCATGCAGGACATCTCACCTTCCTCTGTAACATGGTCACCTTCTCAGGGAAGAGCCGCACTACGTGTTGCTTCCCGAATGCATGGGATAGGAAGTAGCAGTTGGTGGACCCAACTGTGGCTAGCAGGCAGGCCAGAAGCAGGCCCTCCCAGGGCCCAAAGAGAGCCCCCGCCAACATGTTCTGGAGAGGAGGAGACATAGCAGCAGCAGAGACAGCCAGTAGAATACTGTGGCAGCTCTGCATAAAGCAGTGGAAGCCGACTTAGTGGCTTAATGTGTGTAAAGGAGCCTCCAACCAGACAAGGGGCAAAGACAGTGTGTGAAATATGGGGGGGTCTGACACCCCCAATTAACCCATGAGACCCCCTGAAAGCCTCAAAAGCAAAATTTTCAAAAGGGGATCTCAAGATTGGTATTGTGCAACAATAGGATCCCCCCGAATATTGACGGGTATTTTGCACACTGGGCAAAGACATTCTGTGGGAGGGGGGGTCTTCTTTAACACTCATGTACTGAGCAGATGTGTGAAAGTGTATGCCTGGGGTGTGTGTGTGTGCATGCTCACCAATAAGGAAGATCCAGGTATGGCAAAGGACTGTTTGTACAGATAGGCGCTGCAAAAGAGCAGCATGACGTAGGTGATGTGCTCCTGCTTGTAGAACTGTAGGGTGTCGGCCAGCTCTCGGAGGTCATCAAGATCTGAGGGAAATTTAAGTCTGCAACACAAACACAGACACACAGCCAGCAATCACAGATGTGCAGTTAGGAAACAGACATAAAGTCAGTGAAGGCAGATGGAGTCAGTAAACAGAGATGTCTGTGTGGCTGCTTCTGGCAGCAGGGGGCGCTGAGTGGCATGTGGTGTAAACGTCATCAGCTGCCACAGGATTCAGGCAACGCCTTGGGCTCAAGACAGAAATAGTGTGATCAGAACAGAAATAGATGGGACTTTACCTCCCACCCTACAGACGTGGGAAATATCAAATGTCTGATAAAATGGATGAAACTGCTGAAACATTAGCTATCTTATTTCAGGGTACAAGAAAGTCACATGAGTCTCTCTTAAAGTGAGTTCAGCCTAATACCATATCCCATTGGTCAGTGGGTCAGACAATCCTTCCCCATTTCTTTGAGGGCCACAAAGCAATCCCCAATTCATCAGAGGGCCAGACAGTCTTCTGCTATTGGTCAGTGCAGCATAGAAATTCAAACACTTTTATGCTTGCCTTCATTCCAGCTAAGCTACCAGCTAAAAAGCCTTAAATGAGCTGATTTGGAGACAAATCCCATTATTCTGAACAAGGTACTTAAAGGTACTGAAAGAAAGTAAATATATTTTCAAAGTTTACATTTTGAATAAATAAATTTGAAAGTCTTAAACCATAAATGACAATTGAAATGTTTCCCCAAGAAAGTATGAGGAGCCCGTCTATCATAGAAGACCGCAGTAAGTCACTCTGATACAGATCCTGCAATACTAATTTTAGTCTGGAAAAAATAATGAAACCAGGTTTTTAAAGATGTACTTAAGGTCTTAAAGTGTCTTGTGACTAAATAGTTATCTTAAGTGTCAATGTTTGCTGGCCTGCTGGCAATTTGGGTGCTTGCTCCTCGCTCCTGGTGTTTTCATTTTTTAGTCTTGGGGTTGGGGTCAGGCTGTTTGCCCTCTGGGCCCTGGCTCTTTGGGGCTCTTCTATGTTATTGGTCGTTATGGTTACAAACCCCCCCTCCCCCCCCACTGTCTCCAGTTTCCGCGCATCTGTTGAGAAATGTAGACACTGCACTCATTTGCAAGGCCCAGCTGTCCTGCTGACGGGACGAGTAACCCTGGCTTAGTTCAGGAATCTGGCCCCATCGTATATAATTCCACAGGGGGAGGTTCCTCTGCTTTTAACCTTTTTTACTTAATACAGGGTGTAAGTGTATTGGTCATTGGTTGATTTTTTTTTCTGAAGTTTTATACATCCTTCCATCCATACATTTCCTACAATCTCTTACTGGTATAGGGTTATTGTGCTTATTTATAGACTCATCAGTAGTCATTGGTCACTTACATATTAGTAATTCAAGCAGTAATATCTAAGGCATGGAGGCATCTCAATTAACTGTTGGGTTCAGAATGATCAACATCATTTAGTCATTATGTTGTCTTTTGAGATATACCTTAAGTTATTCAAATGAAGTTAACCTTAATACCAGTTACAGCATATTATAAATCATACAGTTAAAGTCGGAAGAATAAAAAACTTATAGGCCTACAAATTCAGCAGATTTTGAAGACTGGTAGAAGTTTCTTTGTCAGTCCTGGATGGATGCAGTTTGACACACATAAACTTATGTTGGGAAGACAGTATTTGTGCGTGCAGTTTATGTAAAGTATGTAAATGTCAGCATCCTGTGTAAGACCCACACAGGTTAGAAATACATAGATCTACTTATAAATGACACTTTGACAAAAAAAAAAGTGCACTACGCGTTTTTAGTTTAGTTTAAGTTAAAGTAACTATTAAAAAGTAACTAGTCATATTAATGTGAAGCACAAATTAATATACATTACATCTGACAGACAGTCACCTGTATTCTTTGACCTCCATGTCGCTGTCCGTGTCACCAGTAATGCCCCCCGTTTCATCTCGTCTGACTGGCTGCCGTGGTCCCGGGGGGAGAAAGGAGGACAGGAGATACAGATACACAGTAGCCGCGGCGACTACGCTGATTAAGCCCAACACGGAGCGCATGGTCCCATGAAGAGACGCACAGGAACCCGACACCACCGGCAGAAGTATCATTGCAGTGACAAGCGGAAGCTGAATACAAACATACAGACAGAAACCACGTGTCCTGCAAACACACCCACTCATTTCATATTTCGTAACTGAACTGCTACACTTTTATACTCCGGCCAGAGAACTTAGGTCGTCTCAGCAGCTTCTGCTCAAAGTACCCAAGACCAGGCTAAAGACCAGAGACGACCGAGCCTTTAGGGTGGCAGCCCCTAGACTTTAGAATAGCATGTTAGATCTGGCCCGACTCTGGAAAATT